TATTTTTTAAACACTTACTACAAAAATATGTGTCGTGAGGGACCACTAATAAAAAAAAAGAATAAAATTTAATAAAAGAATTTCTCTTTTTTGAAATATACCATGATGGATTCGATGATGTCTTCGAGGTAGAATAATATGATAACGTTGTAGAAAAGTAATATACGAAGGTAAACCAAAATATGTATGAGACCATTTATGAAACTAAAATATTCAAAATAAAAATAAAATATAAGAATATATTTTTTTTTTACTTGATTTGTCATTGAAACAAATATAGCCAAGAGAAACATATAAACTTCAAAATTATATGTACGTTTTATATCACTATCATTGAAAAATGTAAATTTATACGCCATGTACAAAAGATAAGGAACAGTAACTGCAAAATTGTCACCATTTGTTTCAATAAAATCATGACGTGTTATTGATGTTGGGTCAATATGATGTTCTCGAAATGGACGTAAAAAATTTCGACCAATAACTGGCATATCAACAGAACCCCATGTGTCAGCACCCCAATGCACAATACCTGATGCTAAATCAGCTGTTGAAATTCCTAATACTATTAAAAATAAATATGAACAAAAAAAGCATGAATTTTTTTCATTTTAAATGTAATCAACATACAAGCTGCAGGAATGATAAGATACCAATTTCTAACATCAAAATAATGGTATATGAAGAAAAAATTATATATCATTAATATAATAAATAGAATAATGCAGATTGTTTCTTGTATACGTTTTTCTAAATAGTATGAATATGATTTTTAAATAAAAGATCATTGTGTGCTTGATTTTTCTTATCAGTAAGAGAAAAAAAACGGAATTCTTTTTTTCAATTTTGAGACACGCCCATAGGCAATAAAGATAAGAATGATCAGAAGTACTAGTGTAATCAAAGCATGGATACAAATAAAAGGCTGTAGTTGATCTCTATTAAATATAATCTCGATTTAGATTTTAATCATATTCATTGTTAAATAATAACGTTCAACAAAAAAATAATAATAATAAAACGCCTATAGGGTGAAATTTCTAATTGATACTTTTATAGGCTTGAATTCATTTTCAAGAACATCAACATTTAATACTCGAAAAATACATTAAGAAATTTTAGTTTTAATAGAAAAATAACCAATTCTCGTCGTCTTCTTTCTCTTTTCTCATATAAATTTAATTCAAATTCAAAGAAATACTTTTCTGTTTCACATCTATGAAAAGAAATATTTTCTATGTTGTTTTGAGAACATTGGCTAAGTCGTTAAGATAATGAAACAAGGGAATACCGATCAATAATTCAATAGTACAAAAACAAAATATTTTTTCTTTCTTGGTAAACTTATTATCTATTTCTCTCAAGGCTGAATAACAAATATATTTAAGTCTATCGAGTCATTAACAATTAATCATATGAAATAAGTCAATATTTTATTCTAAACATATGTGAACGAAAACAACATATTTGGTTGCTAACGTTACATATTTTGCTTTTCTTTGTTTTTTTTTCAAGGTCGTGTTCTCAATAGAGATGTTTTTTTTGTCTACCTTTTGTATATTGACTGGCAAGTAATTTTGCACCAGCATGTTGTGGTCCCCAACGTATTTCATGAGCATCATGTATAGTATTACCATTAGGATCATCTTCAGGCATCGAATTTTTATCAACAAGTATATCCTCGGTAGAAAATTCTTCTTCAATATTATTTGATGTTATACTGTTTCTCATTGTTGTTGTAGTTGTTGATGAAGCTATAAGATAGAGAAGACAAATATATAGATATATTTTAATTCAAAAAGAGCATTGTAAATGTTTTTTTACTTACTAGATGATGATGTCGAACAAGAAACAGATTGTGATGAAAGGCACATATGTTCTGTGAAATGGATAAATAAAAAAAAGTAGAGCAGTGAGTGTATTAAATTGGATTGTGACAGAAAAGAAATAACAAAAACACCGATGCCACCATCTTTTTTCTTTCGGTAATCGGACTTTGGTCTGAAAAGAAAAGGTAAAATACAGAATGAGAATAAATATTTATTTGCTGTAAAAAAAAAAAAAATAAGAACGAAACGTTTTTTTTTGTTATAGAGAACTGTTACCGAATCGTTGCTTAGAGACTTATGCTCACGATGCCTGACATTCACCTGGTAATGACTTTCTCTTTTCAGTCAGGCCAACAAATGCACTTAAAATGTGTATTAATATAAAGAAAGAATAAAATTACAAAAGATATAATTAACAGTACATATACACACACATATATATATGTATATTTGTTCAGTTAGCAAGCATTTTTTCCTATTTTTATCGATCATTTTTCTCTTTTTATGAAAGTATATTTTCTAGATGTCAATAGAAAAAGAAATGTACTAGGATAAAACAACCTATACTAATAGCATAAAGCTCCAATATATTCGTGATTGCTGTAAAAATCCTTGAGCAAGAGTCAAAAAAAAAGTGAATATCAGCGAATATTTAGTGTGATATGTCTATCAGTCATTGTTCGCTCTTATGTGCTTTCTGTTGTTCCTTCTTTTTTCTCTTTTCATCTTGTTTTTTTCTTTCTTTTCTAATTGTAGACCATAGGGCGTTCTTGCACTTCGTAATGGCAACAGTCTGTTTTGTTCTCTTTCTTCTTTTTTTCGTAGCATAGGCATAAAAAAAACGATAGGATGGTATTATCATACAATACACATATCCAAACATCCAGCATATGAATACACACTATTGCAATTATACAAAAAAGCAGAAACAAAAATGAAAACCAAGAGAAAGTATAATAAAAAAGAAAAAAGAATAGATTTCATGTCAAGTATATTCATGAACAAATCATTTACATAATTTATATTTTATAGACATATTATTCTTTGCTCTCTTTCTCCGCAATTATCACTCATTAAAAAACTAATAAGCAATATAAATCAAATAGATTGACTTGAAGAAGAGACAACATAAATTATATGAAAAAAAGAAAAAAGAAAAGAACGAAATCATTATAATGTATCGATGTTGTAACTAGATATATATATATATGTGTAATGATGAGCTTTTATTGTTTCGTCAAGAAAAAAAAACGAAAAAAAAAAAATTTGGAATAAAAATGAGTCAATATTCTCTCAATATGAATTTTTTTTTATTAAAGTGTGCAAGTGATGCATACCTCTATGTACTAAATATGGATCCATCAAAGGCAACAAAATAAGATAAAGAACAATGCCTCCAAAGAGTATACAGCAGATAAGCGTGCTTCTCTTTCTTTGGTGCTATATTTTATTTCTTATAATTTGTTGGTTAATTCAAATTTGCATATATATTTTAGTGAAAATTTTCTAAATCTTCTTGATTAAATCAAGTATTATAAATAATAAACAATATTTTATCAAAATATAAATGAAAATTTTCTATAGATGACGCTACTTAACGATCAAGAATTGATCTATGTTATATAGTCTTCATTGCTTATGCAGGCGAATAAATCAAAGCTGAATCGAATGGATGGAGGGCGGGGCGGGACGGTTTCTGAAGAGTAATACGTCCACAATCGTGATAAGCTTTACTTTCTCAATAGAATCAAAAAATTTTAATAAGTTTTCTTAGGAAAAAAAATTTACCTGCTCTCTAGTATCGGTTGCTTTGAATCAGCAGCGCTGAACAAAATTTTGATTTTCAATAGAATTATAAGAATAAAAAATTATTATGACTCATCTTCTTGGGTCAAATTCTCAATTTGAATAAAATAGATGGACTTTTTTTTTTCTGTTTCCTATTTATAATAGAATTGGTATTATATGCATTTTTTCTTATCATGAATGTTCCATTACGAACATTCATTAGTCAATGTGTGTGATCAATTATTGATTTTTCTATGTCTAACGATTAGTCTTGTTTTGTTTCAATCCCCAATTAAAACCCATAATTCGATTCTTATTACTCAAGTATAAGAAACAATTGTTGCATTTTTTTCTTTTATTTGTTTGCTTACACAAGAGAATACGAAGCTAATAAGTGTTCATATTTTCTATTCATTGATAATACATTCATTTTCTCTTGATCACATAATACATTATAGAAGAATTTTTCATATGTAGAGATTTAAACATTTGAACAACAATCTACTTAAGTGTGGGAGTGATGAGAAAATATTTCCTTTAATTTCCGTTTTTTATTTATGGAAACAACATATGTTTATCTATCTCTCTCATCTGTCTTTTATTGTTCTAACCAGGTTATGCAAAGCTCACTACGAATTTTTGTTATATACGTCTGCTAGTTTTCCAAATTTGCCTGTCTCATGGGTAAGAAAAAGTGTGTTGAGATGAATATTTTTCATTTGTTATAAACTAGAAATGGTATACTCTATTCAGGTGTTGATTAAAAACATGATAACAAAGGTGAATATTTGATTTTATTTGTATTTTTTTTTGCTTTTCAGATTGTCTCCACTAAAGCATAATTTCCATGTTGATCATGAATCGACAGTCCATTGTTTTAGCTCCTGTTTGTTTCTCATATTTTCTTGTCATTATTCTTCTATTTCAATCAACTCGACCTATTCAAGCTATTGCTTTAAGTAGTCTTTGTGGACATTTTGGTCACTCATGTTTTGGTGGTAAATTTTTCTTCTAAGTTTTTCTCTTTTTTTTTTTGTTTAATGTTGAAAATTTATTGTGTTTTCTTTTTTAGGTAATTGGGGTAAACGTGAATTGTTAGCATCTTCATTGGCACCGGATATTTTTCAAGCAAATACTGATACAAATGATGATCGCATCGAGATACCAAATACATATTATAAAGATACAATGAATGATTATCTTTTAGAACAATTACGAACGGTAAAGTGACAAAAAAAAATTTTTTCTTTACATTTTTTTTTCTTTTGATTTCTTCTTTAGAAGCTAATTCGACAACGATTACGTCAATTACTTGAATTAGAATAAAATTTTTATGGATATTTTTATTTCTTTGAATGAAAAATAATTTCTTTTGTTTTTTGTTCAAAAGTAATTAATAACATTAATGAACAGGAGCATAAAAAAACTAATCTGAGCATTCAATTTTTTACTGTAATTACATGGTTTATCGATTCGAGTTTGATTAATAATTTCAGGTTTAATGAGTGGTTCTAAAAGTTCAATATCAATAAGATAATCATGTAAAGCTAATGTTAATGATTTCGCATACATATATAATTTTGTTCGATTAAGAAGTTCATGTGATGGTGATTCAATCATAATTGCACTAAAATTATTATATCGACCATATTCTTCAATTGTATAACCCCATTCAAAATAGGAATGATTAAGTGGTGATGGAAATATTGAACTTGGTACAGCTGAATATTTATATTTTGTTATAAAATATCCAAGAGATTTCTTTCCACTTATGAGTTCTATTGGATCGAATAATGTTCCTAAATATGATGCTAATGAAGAACTTTTTAGTGTATAATCTTTTGTCGACAATTGACGACTAGTAAGCATATAACCTAATTCAACCCAACCTTCTTCATGATCTTGTGAATGTATATCAAATAATAATCCTTTTCCTCCATAATTATTCTCATTATTCATAATAAGTTCTCTAGCATGTCTCAAATAGAAATGATATCTCATCCACGCATGCATACTATTCGATGCACCAAATGTTCCTTCATCAATAAAACGATTCATATCAACTTTTGATCGTTCTAATCTGTTAATAATAACAAATGGTTTTAACTGAAATAATTGATTTAACTCATAACGAAGTGCTAATGCGAGAAGACGTGTATTCTTATCACGACCATGACGTATACTACATAGTTTTGAATCAATTTTAAATAGTGGAGATACACACGGCTTTTGATAATAACATTTTTTACTTGTACTATTGGATTTTCTACAAGCATATTTTGGTCTTGTAGGTAAATTTGATTGAAGATTACCATCATGTGGTACACTTAAAATAATATTCATTGTGCCAGGATAAAAATCAATAGATGATTCATGCATACCATAGTGTTTTTTTAAATGTAATGGTTTTTCAATAGTCGATATAAGATTAAAATATTCAGTAACATATGGAGGATCTATGGATGCCTTTGGTTTTGTTAGTGAACATTTTATTAGAACAACAAGAATAATTAAAGTATTTGAAAAAATAAAGATCATATCTTCGTTTCAAGCGAAATCAATAGTAACGGTACAAAAGTATCTATAAATACATAAGGATATATTATATTACGAAGTACAAGTCATCTGATTTTACCTGCTGCTGTAGAATAACATTATTCTTTTTTTTCTTTGAGAAAATATCTGTATTTGCGTATGTTTTTCAGGTCATTTGATACTCTACTTCGTGCGAACATAGATATTTACTTAAAAATAAACAGCCGTCTACTGATAATAATCGACAATGAAAAAAGGATGATAACGATATGTTTATATATGGATATATTTATTACTAGTCAAGATTAAAGAGGTATGGAAATCATAAAAAAAAGTTAACTAAATCTTATATTGATATTAGCCATAAAGATTACAATGCATCACGTCAGCGGAAGATAAGGTTTTTTCTTTGACGCTTATATAATTGCATGTCTACATAGTTGGCATGTAATAATAATTGGTTAGCATCAGCACAAGGACACAAAAATGTTAGTTGCTTCTGACTGAAAAGAAGAAACAGCTTTTAGCCCTAGGAAAAGAAAAAACATCAGTTTGAGACGAAGAAAAAGAACGGATGTAATACATAGTGACTTGATTGATTCGATTACTCGACATCTCAACGAAGATAAACATTGTGAAATGCGAAACACAACAACTAATGTCAACAGATACAGAAAAAACAAGAAACATTCAGTGAATGCACTATTTTAAATTCTATAATTCATTGCTTGTTGACAGGCATTATATTTAGCATGCTTCTTGCTTTTTTCATATCCTTCATACAGTGAGCCATCTGGCATTTGAACAAGACAAACAGCTTCAGTTTCATCGACAAAGTCTCTATAAATAATTAAAATAAATATAAGGAGTAATTGAAAGGTTTTTTTTTATATAAGATATTTGTTTATTTTTGACTCGCTAAAAATTATCAAAAACTATCAATTAAGATGTTCTTTTCGAAAATAGACTTCGAAATTTGCTCTGAGTTTTTACTCGACAATATTGATATAATCTTTGAAAATCCAAACATTTAATTTACAACGAAAATTTGTGTATCGATTAGTAACTAAATGGCGAGATCTTTATTTATATATCGAACTTTAGATTAGAAGCTACTCTATACAATGTACTATTTGAGGTTTGCTTTTTGTCTTTGGACAAGGTACCTCCATTTTCATGTTTATTTAATATTCATTTTCGAAAAATCAACAACCCGTTTTTCGTTGAAACGAGAGTTCTTGAAAAACGGCTTGAGTAAAAACTACCGCTTAGCTCAATATCACATTTTGTAGAGAACTATTCACTCTACAAAAAGGCTAACTTCGATAATTTTCAGTATGCTCGAAATAAACAGAAATCTATCTGGAAAATAGTTTTTCAAATCTTTCAAAAAGTCTCACAAAAATAAACACAAACATTTCTAAGTCCATATTCGAAAAGAATATTCTAACTCATAGTTTTTCATCCTTTCTAAGGGTTCAAAAGTGATGCAAACATCTGATACAGAAAAAACTTTCCGATTATCTTTTATAAATAAAATTATTCAGATCTTAAAACTTACACGAGGATTTTACCACCTGTATTTATAAATGATCGTCTTGGATTTAAATTTGGATCAATAATAGATCGATCTAAAAATTATGAAAAAGAATTGGAAACATTTTGAATATCTTTAGTTTTATACCAAAAAGTATCCCAAGAAATGGTTCAATAACTTTCCAGACAATTTCTAATGAGTTATCCGAATCAAAACAAAATAGCAGCAATAAGGGCTTCAAATACATCAGCTAAGATTTTTGATGCTGTTGAATCAGTCAATTGATAAATATTCTGTCAAAATATGTATTAGGAAAATTCAATGTTAATATAATCATGTCGAATAGTCTCTTTTAATCTATCATTGTTTGATGGATTATTTGGAAAAATATTTTTATTATCTATATAGGATTTGATACGATTTGAAAGTTCATTTGAATTAAGACAAATTCTTGTATGAAGATTAGATGAAACTAATATATATGCTAAACGATTATTATTTGATAAGTCTTGTCGAATATCAGTTACTCGACCTAGAATTCATACATTGTAAAATATGCACAACAAAAAAAGATAGATATAAATATTTCCCGGTGTCAGATTTCTATCATAATTAAGAAATATATGACATATGACAAGAAAATCGAGAAGAGCATCACCTAAGAAATTCTAGTCTAAAATAAAATACATTTATTTAAACAACAAGTCATATTTTCATAAACTAGTACCGTTCATATGAATATAATAAACAATTTTTAGATTTAGATGGATAAATATAGGCTGATATAAGATATGCTTTATTTTGAAAGACATAATTAAGTTTGTTTTGAATTTCTTCAAATTCTTCATCATAAAAAAATTCTTCGAATTTCATTATCTAATTGTGAATTTGTTCAAAAATCAGATGATTAAATTTTTAAATTAATTATTTTATGATTTTCAAATTCAATTCAAAGTCAAAAGCATACATAATCAATAGTAGATATGCATCAATCTCAGTATATTCTTAAGATGAAACTTATATTTGGAACATAGATTGAGTTAATACAAGGATTCACAAATGAAACAATAAAACCTAATTCATTATTATATTGCATATTTTTATTAATATTTATTTGATAAAGATATCAGATGTGTTTTGGTAGATTATTGTTTTGAAATAATATAGCAATCTAGATAATTAAATAGAAGTTTATTTAAATAAAATTTTCAAGACAAAAAACCTTTTTTGAAAATATTTCTTTTGTATTTTTGTCTTTTCTTTCGAACAATTCATCACATAATTTAAATAGTCTTTTTCTAATCGAGATTTTTCTAAAAACCATTATTCTTTTGACTAATAACATCGAATATACGATAAATAACAACAAAATGTTTGATAGAAAGATAAGAACAAAAACAAATTCTTAAGGTATTTATTATTTTTTGATATGCGTCAAATGTGTCAGTTTGGATATGCATGACTATGAGATGTGAGTATGTGGGTTATTGTTGTGAATCTTCGGTTCACTTAAACCCACTTCCTTTTATTTCGAACAGCTCATCACATTATTAAAACATTTTTTTCTCTAATCGAGACTTTCTTCAAAATATTATTCTCTGAACTGTAACATGTGATATATCACAAAATAAAAACAAAATATTTGAGATAAACATAAGAACAAAATTGAACTCTTAAAGATTGTTCAATGCTTTTTGACATGCATCATATTTTGCCAGTTTTTTATTTCTTCCAAAGCCATCAAATCGAGTTCCGTTCGATGATTCAACAATGCAAGTAAACACTCCTTGTTTGTCATTTAATTCCCTGAAGAAATAAATCGTAGGCAAATAGATTTCAAGAATTTGAAACTTACTGAACGATTTTTCCGCCTTTTTCAAAAAATGATCTTACTGGATTTAGGTTTCGATGTTTAACGGATGCATCTATAAAAAAAACAACAACACAAATAAAATTATGTATATTTTTAATATTAACATACTAATATATTGTCGAAGTAAAGGTTCAATAATCTTCCAAACTGTGTCTAAACAATATCCAGAATCAAGAAATATTGCTCCGATTAAAGCTTCAAATACATCAGCAAGAGCTTTTGGTGCTGTTGAATCAGCCCATTTATCAATATCCTAGAAAACAACAAATGAACAACTTAATATTTCACGAATAGAAATGTGTAAGAGTAACTTCTTTGTCAATGGTCTTGTTCATAGTCCTGTTAAATCTAATCTGATCCCAACTTAAAGCAAACTGCTTAGAGTTTAGTAAAAGAGTGGTAGAGGGTTTTTGCTTCCTTATAAGAAGCTTAAAGAGATTTTCTTTCTATACAGTCTGATAATAGAAACGATTCTCTACGTTACTATGATGCTTATTCATTATTCAACTATTGTTATAATAATAAAATTTCGATAAGAATCAGGGTTACCGAGATACTTCAAATGTGGAAGGGTCTGAAAATTCGGCAGCAAGTGCTTTCATGTGCGAAGTGCCAGAAGTAATGATCGGTAGAAGGGGGCGAGACAACAATGAAACTTACTGTGACCCAGTCCCTTTCCAACAATAGTCAGCGTTTAATATTCTTTTCATCTATAGGCTATGCCCTCAGTCTATATAGACCATTCTAAGTGGTAAATCTATAGTGAGAAAGAAGCCTTAAGTAATTCTCTGGATCTAGTACCATGTAGTGTTTACTTATTCGACTTAATCAAGCAAAATCTAAGCAATTTCGAATTATTGCATTGCGCTGTAAACAATTTCATGAATTTGTTGAATAAGGAAGCGAATAAAAAAGTTCGATACATCAATTCAACGAATGTAATAAAGTGTGTGAATAACCTGGACTATTATTTAGAACATTTAATGAAATCAAAATTTTATGAATTTATTTCTGTATCGCTCCTTTATTTTATATACACAACTTTCTGTGTATCCTATTATGTACGGACAGCTTGGCATTAACTGTGGAATATCGATTTGATTACCGAACTTGATAGAATATAAGAAACTTAACTATAATTTATTAAAGCAAATCCTGTGTATGTTCATTCAACAAAAATGATATTACTTTGTTCAATTTGTCATTCATTGATTGATCTTTTGTAAAAAGAATTGAATTTTCAAGATAAATTGTTATTTCATCAAAAAGATATGGTGATTCATGGAGAATTTTTCTGTGAAGATCACAAGAAACAAGCAAATATGCTAAACGACCATTATTTGATAAATCTTGTCGAATATCTGTTACTCGACCTACGAAGAAAAAATCAATTTTCTATTAATAAACAAACAAAATCTTTTACTTGGTGTAACTTCTTTATAATACTCAACAAATATACATCGTATAACAAGAAAGTCTAATACAGCATCTCCTAAATATTCTAACCTATTACAAAGATTTAATAAATATTAGATTATTTTATTTTAAATACCTTTCGTAGCATTGAGTAAGACGATTATTATAATATGATGGATGAGTAAATGCTGCAATTAGATATGCTTTATTTTTAAAAACATAATGGATCTTGTTTTCAATATCAGCAAATGTGAAATTGTTGAAAAATTCTTCAATTTTACTAATAACATCATTCATTGTATCAGATAGATCGGCACGTAGAATTGATGGTGGTTTTATAACTTGATCTATATGAGTTATTATCAATGAAATACAAAGAAAATTCTATTCTTACTTTGCTCATCAATTGGAATCACATCAAGACCTAGCCATTTCATAAATTTCATAGTTGTTATATAATTCGTCGAAATTAAAAATGCACCAATTAATGCTTCTATCATATCAGCAAATGCTTTTGGTTTAGCTTTTTGTTCGGTATATTTTTTTGAGATTTCTTCATCAATTTTATAACCAGGTGGTATCCAATTAGCTTCTTCACCTTGATAAATTAATTTATCAACATATAAATAATTTATTAATCCTTTTTTCTTAGCTAATCGATAAAGGTTTGCATTTGATACTTGTTTATCTTTTCTTGATGTTAATTTACCCGCATTATCAAATGGATATTGATGATAGAATGACATAGACATTGCTAATTTAAGAAAACAATCACCAAGTATTTCTAAATTTTCCATATCAGTATTTTCATTTGCTGAACGTCGAGTAATTGATTGAAAAATTAAATTAGATGATGGTTGAAGTTCATTATTATTGTCTAATGAAAAATTATAATTAAGAGAAACTAGTGGTAGTCCAGTTGATGGAATCTATTGGAAGAATATATTATATGGTTTGTTTTTCTTAAGATTTTTTCTTACTGATGATAGCATATTAGTAAGACAATCGTCAAAAGTGACAATAGGCATAGATTCAACATCGAACAGCTACAATGAAAAATAGAAATCAAACAAGACAACTTTTGTCGAACATTTTTAAATATTCTACTATACTGAATAAGATTGAATATTATCAGCTAATAATTTTCTCAACTGTTCTATGTAATACAATTGTGAAATACGAACAAGAATACTTGGTAATTTAATAATTAATTCAAAATCTGCTTGATTGAGTGGACCATAAAAAAGAACTTCGATTGGATAATAATTATTTTGTATAATTATTGAACTGTTCGATTCTTTCTCTTTTTTTGATGGAGAATCTTTTAAATAATTGATTTTTGGTTTTCGGAAAGTTCTCATTGTAGCCATTAGACGATCCCGTTGAATGTAAATATTTGGTACTTTGTACTCGAAATAATCTGCATAATTTTTAATTGTATCTAATGGTTTTTTATGTTCCCATTTATCTGTTACTCGTTTCAAAAGCGAAACATCAGAAATATTTGTATAAAGTTGTTTTTTTGACGAATGCCAAGGATAATAAAGTTCATTATCATTTAATTCAGATGGATTTAGAATAGACTTATTTTTTCTGTTACATATTGTCGCCATTCGTTGATAATCAATATCATTGGATTCTACTAATAGAAACAAGAAAGGATTCAAATACAAAATAAATCAAATTATCTCTTACTTTTCAAAAGACATGGAAATAGTTTAAAAGTAGAATGTTCAATATCGAATTTCAGTATTGATTCCAATCCTGTATTCATATCATCAAAGACTTCTTCAAAAATATATCGACAAAATTCTTCTAGTTCATTTTTATATTTCTCTATATTGATCGATTTCAAGTATGCAACTTTTACAGTTGATACACCAGTACGTCCATATAAATTAAACATGGGCAACTAAAAACAAAATCCTATGTAAAAATAATTTTCAACTATATAGATTGTACCTTAATTAGTTTCTTAGGTACAATAAAACCGAGATCATCATCATCCGAAATATTGATTCTATATAAATGCCAACAAGTAGGCAAATTATTGTAATCATGAAAGAAATAGGAACTCTATTTGATAATAGAAATAAATTTAGTGTCATATTTAAATTTCAATCATAATTAGATACCTGCTTTTCAATAATTTCAAACGGTACTTGTTTAGTATCACCATCATCATCGTCATCCGTTGTTAAGCATTGATCAGGACGAATTGGTAGACAATTTTGATCAAGTTCACCTTTCTTATGAAGCATTTCAACCATTTTTAAACAACATTCTTGTTTAGCTAATCTTTTATTACTATTGTTGCACTTTCAAAAAAAAAAGAATAAAATTTCAATGTGTAGAAAAGAACTTACAATAATATCTTCTCGTATAGGACAATTTGCAGGCATTGATAAAATACATTTAAAACTATTATTTTCATTTTTATGAAAACAAAATCGTGGTGATAAAATTTGACTATTACCAAGTACAGCACAATATCTTCAAAGAAAATAAAAATAAAAATTTATGCTAACTGTTTCATTTACTGATTAATGATTTGTATTGAGCGTATACCATGAATTTTTACTCCAGTTTCAGTTCGATAAGGTTTTAATGCATTTAAATCATCTTGAGAAGTATTATCACTATCATCATCAGCTTGAAAATTTTGTTTCAACATCTAAATTTCAAAAATCTAGCATACAAAAAAAATAAGTCTAAAATTTTTACTTTTTCCATATATTCATAATTTTGATATTCTTCTCTATTCAATGAAAATTCTTCAACAGTAGATTCATCTCTGAAAAGAACAAATAATGCATTTTCGTTTCGCGCTCTTGCACGTCCTTTTGATTGCATATATGATGAAAAATTGTTTGGTTTATTAAAACGAATAACAAGATTACATCCTGGAATATCGAAACCTTCTTCAATGATTGCTGTAGATATTAAAACTTTAATATTTTTGTGACGAAATTCTTCTACTACATCACGCTAAAATTCATAAAAAATGTTTGAAAAGAATCTGTTTAAAATATCATCTAACTTGATATTTATTTGAAATACTTATTTCATCAATATAAGCTTTTGAACCAGCAAGATATTTAATTTTAATAGAATCGCCTAAAATTTCTCCTAAGACTTGACATAAGAAAGCAGCCGTATATACTCTTTCAACAAAAACAATACATTGGCCACGATGATTTTGTTTTATACGTTCTTCTAATTTAATTACTTTATCACTATAAAGAATTTTCCGATCTTCAGGTAGATTTCCGAGTTTATTATTGATTAGAGAATCAAGACTATTTATGATCTTTTCATATAAATCTTTTGCTTCTTTATCAGTTATTTTTATGAATGCATTTTTTGTTTCTAGATACTTTCTTAATGATATTATTCCTAAACGAAGTCCATATAAACCAAGATCATAACCAATATGTATTATATTATGCAGATGACATTTAAGTTGATCTAAAGTTCGACATTGTAATTGAATAAAATTCGATGGATCATTTCTTTGTAAAAGATCATTTTCAAATATAGTTGGAGATTTGTTTGTCTTGATATATTTGCTAACTTCATCAAAAATTAATTCGATTTCCTAAAAAACAAAAAAATAAAATAAAATAGAAAAATTGTTGAAATTAAATTGAAATATTAACTTGAAAAATTTTCTTGACTTGCTCTTTCTTTTGACAAATATTTTGCTTATAATTTGTACAACGTTGATGTTCAACTTTAACTGATGTACTATTTTCATTTATTTCTATTCGATTCGAACCAGTCTCAATACGAGCTCTAAAAATATTTATTGACATATGATTTTTTTTTTGGAGAAAGAACTATAAGACATCGCCGCATAAGATTGTCAATCTACCATCACCTTAGATGTTACTGTCTATAGATGAAAAAGAAAGTGCATAGAAATCTACATATTTTTGTCTACTCAATTTTTGTTTTGTTGAATGCAAAAAAAATTCTCTTTGACAAACTCAATAGGAAAACTAATCGTACTTGCTCTAACTCTGCATAAACTAATCGATGCGTCGATTAGTATAGAATGAAAAACTACGAGTACTATAGTTATAATTTAAAACGTTCAACAGTCATAGCCCACCTAAGACTATTGAGTTCAGGAATTTTTTTTGCATTCAACAAGGCAAAAAATGAATAGTTAGAAATGTTCAAAATTTCATGCTGCATCTTTCTATTATATAGACAGTGAGGTCTAAGGCAGTATCAGATTTACGAACTTATCTGACGATTTCGTTTACCGGTAAACTTTTCCCAGTTCTTTTGCAGCTTTTTGTAAATTTCTCGGTTCAATTTTTTGTCCACTAATTGATGCAGTTAAACCGAGTATACGTGGATAATGTGAACATCGATTATAATGTGTTTTCATTATTAAAGCATAAGGATCATCACCTGTTGCATGATGACATTCATCAAATATTAATAAATTAACTTTATCTAATGCTGAAAATATTTTATACATATTAAATAATAAAATAAAATAAAAATTTCAACGTACAAAAGAAGTTATAATCAAGTAAATTAAGAAATATTTGTACAGTAAAGATTAATATTTGATAAGTTTCAAATTCTGTAGACCATCGATTGGTATCGCTTAGACTGATATTTGATGATCCACAATACATTTGAATTTTCAAATCTAAATGATCACTTAAAGTTTTGTAATGTTGTCGAGCAAGTTCATCTGAAAGAAAAAGAATAATTTTGTTCTTATTTGATAAATAAATATTAATTACTAGTTTTAACAAGAAGAATAGTTCTTTTCCAGCCATCTTCTTGTTTTCGTCGAATAATAGGTGACAATTCTTTAATAAGCATAATAGCAATATATGTTTTTCCACTACCAGTTGGTAGACAAACGATTAAATTTTCTGATTTAGCTTGTTCCATAATTTCTGTCTATGAATCAAAACGAAGAAAACTAATTTATTTGATACAAAAAAAAAAAGAATTTACTTGATATGAACGAGGAGAGAACTCTGACATATTCTCATCAGGAATTGTGTTGCTGGAGTATGAAATTTATTTTTTTCAAATATTCAAAATTATTACTTACGAAATCGTTGCTAAACATGTAGATGAAGTTTCATTGCGATGCATGATTGTGAATATCTTTATGTTGTTTTTTTCACACGACAATCCACCATACCATGCTGGTAAAAAAAAGGAAATTTTGCGTTCTGTTATGTGTTTAGTGACGTCATATGACTTGTTTTATTTCAGAAAAAAAGAAAACGTAACAGGAATATAAGGATTATTTTTGTTTTATATTTCAATGTTTAGAATTTTTTGAATAAAAATGTCGATTGTCTTAATACAGTGATTCAATACAAACATTTCTTTTTGTGCAATAGCAGTCTGAAGTAGTCAATATTTGGGGTGTCGTGATTTTTTACAGAGAGAGAATATTTTTTTAAACAGAATGCAATAAAACAATAGATTTCAGCTCAACTGGGAAAAAATGAAAACCTTTCAAAATTTCAGGGGGTGTGACACAACCAGCACCTTTCAATCAAGTTATCACTTGTTTTGAGTGTCTTTTTTGTTCTTGTTCATGTATGATATTTCTTTTCAAGCATAGGTGGTGGAGCCACGAGGCCTGGATAGGCTCGACCCTACCATAGATTGGAGTCGGGTAGGCTTGGGTAGGCTCAAACTGGGACAGATAAAGGCTTGGGTAGGCTCGAATTATCCTAAATTAAACATATAAAAAAGCTTGAGTAGGCTCGAATCGTCTTAGATTGAGGAGATAAAAGAGGCTTAGATAGGCTCTGTTTAATGTTAAAATTCTCTAAAGGGTGGTTCAAAAGTTTCGACCACTCTCTATAAATCGCTAGTATCTACAACAAACTTATATGAAGTTATTGATCAAATTACGTCATCTTTTAGCGAAAGATAAGGGTTATCATCTGAAAAAATATTTGGAAATAGATCTAGCATCTCACCAAGACGTTGTAAAAAAAAGAGAAAAAAAGATGCCCAGCATTCTTGAAAAAAAAGAGACTTTTTAATAAAAAAGAGGAGAAAAAGAGGCGTACAGTTTCCTTTCGAAGAAAACTAAAACTCACCGGCACAATAGTACTATAGATCCGACAAAACTCGTACATTATCAGTATAGGTTGAATATGACTTGAAAGAGAAAAACAAAAACGAAACTTCCAAATTGTTCAGAGATTGTTGTGCAGCTGCTTATTTATCCATAAGAAAACCGGAAAACATTAGAAAAATATTTTAAATATTCTATCTGCATAGTATCTGAGTATACTATTACTGTCTAACTAAGTAGGTATATAGAAATAGAAACAATCAAAATTCATTAAATGTCCTTTTTGCGTTTTGTTCCTTTTTATGTACTCAAAAAGTGAGTACACTCTAGAATTGGTCAGTGTGTCTGACCGTCCGTCCGTTTACACGATAACTTTTGAAAGGAGAGTCCGATTGCGATGAAATGTTCTACGCAGTTCAGTCTTAACAATATCTCGGTCGAGTTCGAAGATGAGCATGATTGGCCGAGCCGTTTCTGAGTTATTGCAAAAATTGTCATTTTTCCATATGGCTTCTTATAAGAAAATCGACCTATTCCCACTTTCGTAAAAAACTTTTACTATCATAATCAAATAAAACTCCAACTATAATATACCATTCGATAGAGACTTTCACGAGCTACAAAATGGTATATGAAGCATAAAGAAACAAGAAGGCTAGCTCACCTATTGTCAAGATAATCAGACGGAAATAGGTTCTGTTTTCGTCCACGCTCTAGTTGATCCGAAAATAGAGCTCTACCTTCCGATAACGGGCATGATACTTCGAGGTTTTTTGGGGCGGAGAACTCGAATCTGTTATCCATTTGCGTTGAAATACCATTGGTTGAGCAGGGGCCAATAGAAATCAGGTTTTAGGAAAAACTACTTTCTGAGGGTAAATCAAGGTGAAGGGTTCAAATCTGAGCTGTATTCATCCACAAATCCTATTGGTTGAGAGTGGCCAACAGAAATCAAGTATTTTATAGAAAAGGTTTGCCAGGATAATTTTGATGTCCACATATTCTAGGATGACTCATCTGTCTCATTCACTTTTTGAAGTACACATAACTCTCGGATTTAAATCCAAGGTTTCCGCATTTATTTTCGGATGGCTGCGCATGTGAGACAGTTTTTCTTGCGCTTTTTCAATTTTCGGCAATTCTTCCGTGATTTTTACCATTTTTCGCAAGTCAGTTTCACTTTTCCGTTTCTCAACATAAATTAATACATTGGTGGCAACTGTGTCCAGACAGCAGGTTTGTGGGAATCATTTGACCGCGTGCTATCGAAAACGCTTAATTTTTTGCAGTGACATATGATCATCTTCTTGGGTTCTGTATAAAGCGACTTACTTGTATTGAGTAGATTGTATGATCTCTTACTTTTTGGTTATCGGATACCCCTGTTTGTTGCTGTTGCATTCCATCATATCCGATTTCTTCCAAGTACCATCAAACCGTTGTCAATATTAACCCATGTCAAGCAAACACGCTCGTAATTGGAGAAATACGGCGTTTCATATCGCCCAGTAATGTGATCGTATAAATCTGTGATCGTATGCGCAAAATATATGATCGTTTATAGACAAACAAAGCTCGTCTACACTATTCGTTTTACTTTGTATTTCTTCGTATACGATTATATTTCTCCATGTACGGTTTGGAGATATACGAACCTCCAAAATGTGATTGTATATGAAGAAACTCGGAAGAAGAGAACAGGGGTTACTTCATTTTCTGATAAGCAGAAATCTTCAACTTATGTTATCATACTATCGGATGCTATTTTGCCGAACAAATCCCATTGAATCTGACAGAATTCTAAACTGACAAGGGAGCCTTCCAAGATGTCGGAGCGCTTTTCAGTCGAGGTTTCGCGCATCTTGTAGCCCATAGTGAGCTATGCCTATAGTAAAAAAAGTTCGGGTTTCTGGCTTGTTTCTGAGGAGATATCGAGTTCTCAGTGAATTTTCTCTATTGTACGCCTACATTGGCAGCAAAGCTATACTTTCGAATTTTGACCTGAAACTTTGCCTGCATAAAGACCTCAGCTAGATTAGTTTGCATAAAAAATTTCAGAAGTTTTCAATAAAGTCTCTCTAAGATATGAAACTATCAAGGTATAGTCCCTTTTTCATCAATAATATATATAGTATGCATTTTTTTCAAAGCTTCATATCTTAGAGAAACTTTATTCAAAACTTCTGAAATTTTTTATGCAAACTAATCTAGGTGAGGCCTTTATGTAGGCAAAGTTTCAGGTCAAAATTCGAAAGTATAACTTTGCTGCCAATGTAGGCGTACTATAGAGAAAATTCACTAAGAGCTCGATATCTCCTCAGAAACAAGTCAGAAACCCGAACTTTTTTTACTATAGGCATAGCTCACTATGGGTTACAAGATGCGCGAAACCTCGACTGAAAAGCGCTCCGACACCTGGGAAGGTTCCCTTGTGAGTCTAGTCATCCTAGAAACTCTTTGCTTTGAAGCATGCGCTACGCTACGAGTTACCTATCCATTGTTAGATTCATATCACAAGCTTCTCTGGGGCCGAAAAAAATGGTCAAGAAACGTGAGCTCGAGATTACAATTTTACATGTCGATCATAACCAGAAAAACATGTTAAGATCGTGAGAGAATGACGATTTCATATTGGAAACATAATTGAGTGCTTTGCTTCCGCTAGAGAACTACAAAAGTTGGGTTCCGATTATGGATATATAATATCGCTGAAGTTGATCACTGAAATCATATACTATAGCTTTCTTAGCTATGCAACTTGACTGATCAGCACATCAGTTTGTTATGTGATATTTTTGTATGATACGGTAACAATAATCAATATATTCATGAATATTTTTGTCAACGACCTGCTTCTTTGTGAGAAAAGAGGAAAAAGTGGATTTTTTCGAAAAAAGAGGCTAATAAGAGGAATTTTAAAAGAACAGAAGAAATGGAGGAAAAAGAGGTGGAGTGGGATGCCAGCTGAAAGCTGCTAAAATGATCGTAACATTATAATAGACTTATGTATTTCGAAATATTTTTTTCAAATGATAACTCTCATCTTCCTCTACAAAATAACACAATTTGATCAATAACTTTGTATAAGTTTGTTGTAGATATTATCGATTTATAGAGAGGGGTCGAAACTTTCGAAACATTCTTTAGTTATCAAATTCTACGGAATTTAAACCTAGCAAAAGAATCTGTAGCGCTTACCATTATAAACGAAAAAAAGTCTTTGAATTGACTATCGGTGCTGGCTTGGCTTAAAAGTTGAGCCTACCCTAGACCAAGACCGCTCTGCCGCCCATGCTTTCAAGTATACAAGTTTTGAAAGAAGAAAATGTTTTGTATTGCAAAAAAGCTTATCACAGACGTATGCATCCTGAATGAACCTAGAAAATCTTGAATGCGCATCATATTTTTACATAGTTTGAATGGTAAAAAAAGGTATAGACAATTTGCTGAATTTTTTGTACAACTTAAGTTTTACCATAACAAACTCAAGCAATCGTGTATTATATTATACTAGAGATCTTTTTATGAAATATTAATCAGAAGATAGTTCTGACGAGGGAAGATCCCCAACTGTCCAATTGCTTTTGAGTTCGGACCCTGTGCATAAGATAGATCCCAGTGAGATATGAAAAACCCCAAAAGGATAACGGCCCTTATGCCTTCTGTCCAGAGTTATAGGGATTTTACTGGAATTTCAGTCTATGGCATGGTATTTACTATCAAATTGAATGACGATATTTCGGGTTGAAATTTTGTCCATACACAGGTCTAGTTGTGGGTAAAATGCTCTGAAAATTTCAGCTCGAAAAAATGTTTTCTTCCCGAGATATTAGAGTTAAAAAAAACAGAAGATTCTAGCATCTGTCGTGAGATGTGAGTGATTTTTAGAAGTTTAATATCTCGGGAAGAAAACATTTTTTCGAGCTGAATTTTTCAGGGCATTCTACCCACAACTAGTCCTGTGTATGGACAAAATTTCAACCCGAAATATCGTCATTCGATTTGATGCTAAATACCATGCCATAGACTGAAATTCCAGTAAAATCCCTATAACCCTGGACAGAAGGCATAAGGGCCGTTATCCTTTTGGGGTTTTTCATATCTCACTGGGATCTATCTTATGCACAGGGTCCGAACTCAAAAGCAATTGGACAGTTGGGGACCTTCCCTCGTAAGATCTGATGAGTACTGATGATATTTAAAATATTTCCCATATAATTACTACAACTTTCGGATATTAAAAATAATAAAAGATTCTTTGTCACCTATTAGTATCTATAAAAATCGTAGTCTAACACATGTTAGTTATTGAAATCAGTACTGAAGTCTGTTCAAACAAACTGTATTATCTAAATTTTCATCCACCAAATACTATTGCCAATTTTCTGACTTTTCTGCAAAAGTAGAAAATCTTTTTGGTTGATTCCAGTTAGCATTCAGAGAAAAAACAAGAAATTGCTATTATTTAAAAGTATCTTTATTTGAAACTTTCAAAGGCATCGTGAGTTTTTTTGAAATCATTCAGCATGATATTGTGCTAATTGAATGTTTTGACATGCCATTGTTCGACATTTTACAAATATGACTTTGAAAAAACTACGAAAAAGCAAATTGATTAAAATGAACTAACTTCTGTTAATTTCAATTATTATTTCAATAGTATTCTGAGTTACCATGTGAAAATACCCAGTTTGGAAATTCTAAAACTTGTTTCGAATTTTCGTGGCGTATTCTGTTTTATTTTCTTGCTCAAAGTCCTGTTATCTATAATATACTAAATTTAAAACTGTCGGCGTTATTTATTAACTTCGAAATGAATGTATGATTGTTAGCATTGAATATGAAGATAGAGTAAACGAAAACAACAATACCATTATGATTATATTTCTAAAGTTCTTATAGAATTGATTTGGAAACTTAAAAACAATTAATATCATTTATAGCTTCGAGTTTCTACGCGAAGCAGCAATAAACATAAATTTCTTAATAAAACAGGAATATCTGAACCAAAAGACACTATAAGTTCTTATCTTTATGAGACATATTCTCTAAAGAATTTTTTTAATAGCTTGTTTCAGAAATCGTTTTTAAATTTAGGACCAAATCATTCTGTAAAATAAAACAATTTTGAATAATAAGTCGATACAATGAAATGCAATTCGGCTTTTAAATTTCATAAATTCTATAAGTCAGATGAGTTGTTTTTTTTACTTTCTTTTTTCAAAATTACCCTACTATATCCATGTTCTCTCTTAAATATTGTACTATCCTTTTTTCAATGTTGGGAAAGCTGCTAACTAAATTCTAGAATACAGCAAAAGTAATGTACAAATGATTGAAACGATTAAATATTTAAGTTCTTTTCTTTTGAAACAGTGACCTGATTCAATAATGCAAATGATCTCCGTTGTATATGACAACATAAATTTTCAAAGACTTTGAAGACATTCAGAAGTCTAAGACTTTTCGATAAAGTAAATGCTTGAATTATTTTGCTTAAATAAGATCAACTAATGACTAATATTGTGAAAAATAAGAGAAACTAATCATCTTAGTTTGTAAAACAGTGTTATTGGATCTAATTAAGAAAAAAAGTACAATCTTCTTATTTTTTAATTGTTTTAAAAAAAATAGATATTTGTAAGTCAAACAGTTTGTTGAATGTTCAATTAGTAATTAGTAACATTCAGTTCAAGTTGAATGAGAATAAAAAAAGAAAAATATAAGGTATAACATGGAATATGATTTGATTAGTTGGAAAAGAGATGGATAAGTTACATTCATTATTGTATGTAGCGTGTATATGTAGCTTACCTTAACCTGTGCTAGCTCATCTCGTCGTGCTAGCTTCTCATCGATGAGTGCTTTGAAGGAGAAGGGAAATAAACATAATCAAAAATCATGTTTTTCAAGTCTATTAAAGATAGTATCAGTTTACTATTAGGCCGCTTCTGGTAGAAGAAATCGGAAAAAAATTGAAATAGAACCGATAGCCGTCCCCTTCAGGGATTGTCGAAACAAATTTTTCTTCTTGATTCTGATTTTTTCAAAAAAAAAAATACTTAGTTTACAAATATGATGAGATTATCAAAACTTTAGCTGAAACTAAAAATCTCGAAAGAACAAAATTAAAAATAACAAGTACTGGAAACTTTGAAATAAAAATATTAATGATAGAAATGTTGAAAGTAAACTGTCAATAGAAACATGTCGAAAAGTGATCTGAAGATTTTTGAATATTTTCCCATTTAGAACATAAAAAACAAGCAGATAAATTTGAATCAAATGTTTATTTTTGACAAAGGAAGAATAAAAGATAAGCATAAATACTTTGAAATATTAGTGTTATCGATCTTAAATAATATTTTTTAATTTTCTTTTCCTATAACTAAAGACTGCCTGTTGAAAGGATCAGATGCTGTAATAAAATCATTATTATATTAATTATACAATGTGTTTATCAAATTTTGTAATGCTGTTCTTCATTTTTTTTTAAACTTCGATACACAAGAAGTTCATTGAAGTGTAATATTCTGTATAGATTTTTCTTCCATTTTGAAAAAGTTAAACAAATATCCACACATTTGAGTGATTTCAATAAATATCAGAATTCATTTTATTAGGATAACCTGCAATTAAAAATAGCAAGTTGATCGTTTTATTCATCAAACATATATACTACAAATTTAACGCTTAAGTTGATATTGACAGTACAACAATGACATCTTCATTGTTATTCAACATCTTTTAAAACAATCATTATTTAACAAATTTAAGTTTTACTTCTATAAATTTTCTTTTCAAGCCTTTTTCATTTTCTATATTTTGTACTTCCTACATTTTACTCTGGATATTTTTAGTTTTGACAGAAGTTAAATTTACCTATGATGGATAACCTAATCTTAATCGAAACTGTTTTAGCAATTATCTGATGTGGCTGCAATACTGTACCTTTAATCAACTTCTTATTTCCTGCATTACTTTAAAAAAATGTACTTATTATAAAAGTATTCTTGTTCTCAAGAGTCTAGATTCTCAATCAAATTTAATTGTGCCATTTTTTGTTCACATTGATTCATCAATAGCATGATTAAGTAAATTAAAATATTGAAAGAAATAATTATCGATAATATCAATATTAACAAACAAACTATCTGTTGATTTTCTGTTATTTGAATTATCAAAGTCGAGAATAATTTTTCAAGTGAACAAGGCAACAAAATATCCAGTTTTTGTAAATACTACAGGCACTGATAAAAATGTTTGCTCTTTCGATACAAATTTGTCAATAAATTACTTAATTACAAATAAATTTATTCTAAAATGATAATATATAAGATCTCTCTTGTTTATTTACAAATAGTCAAATAATCTATTAATTTCATATATAAAAAAGAATCTTCGGCATATATTTGCTTTATCTTCGATCATAATTTTGCATACCATATTTTAAAATTTGAGAAATAACAATCATAATATCGTTCCACTTTCATTGTAATACATAGAGATCTTGAATAAAGTGCGCTATATCCTTATATGTTTTTTTTCCTATGAATATATGTTTAAATAATATTGTATGGTACAGTATTAAAATAGAATAATAGACTACATAACATACAAGTTTGTTTTATTTTTATTTTTTTTAAGACAAGAGAAAAAGAGAGTAATAATGATAGATAAGAAAAAAAAGAACGAAAGTAATAATGATAGATACGAAAAAAAAAGAAAAAAAGGAAAGTAGTAATCATAGATAAGATAAATGCACATAGATAAGACCAAATTGACCAGCCAGTTCATTTTCCACTACAAAAAAAAAACAAGGCAATGATTATAATATAACGAAAAATATTTACTGTATGTAATCATATCAACTTCATCAGGCATTTCAGCAATTTGTACTGCAAAACGACTTTGAACTTCATTAAGAATTTTTGCATCACTTCCATCTGCAACAAATGTTATTACCAAACATTTTGCACCAACTTCACCATCACGAGCCATCTAATATTAAATATTTTAATAAATAAAAACAAATTTTCTTTCGAACATACTCGTTCAAGATAAGTATCTGTATTTTCTGGCATATCATAATTAAATACAATATTAGCACGTGCAACATTCATACCACATTCAAATAATTTTGTTGCAACGACAATACGTGTTTGACCTTCTTTAAATTTTTTATAATGTGCCAAACTAAACAAATATAATTATTTAAATTTTCTATTATTTCAATTAAAAATAAACAAACCGTTCGTTTTTTGGTATACCAGGATGAATTTCAATAGCAGGCAAATTATTTTCATTCAATGATTTGCATAAACGTTTGCAACTTGATACAGATTTACGAAAAATAACAGCTTGTTTGAATGGTAAAACATTCAGTAAACGAAATAATTCTTTTTTTTTATCATCATTATTTAAAGTAACGTAATATTGTTGAACACCATGAAGTTTTGATTTTGTTTCATTGTCAATAGAAATTTCAATTTGCTAAAAAAAATCAAATGACTCTTGATAAATATAATAATGCTTAAAACTTACATCGTCGGTAGAAGCTGCATGTGTTTGCTGTGTTTCTTTATTTGGACTTAATTTAACGTCGTTTTGCATCAAGTTAATTAATTTACCTAATTTATCATTAAATTGTTCCATCAAGTTAAGCAATTTATTGTTGATGGCAACTTGGTTATTGTTGATGGTATCTTGGCTCTGCATGAATTTTGCCAACATCTCGATTATAATTTCTTGTTTGTCTGGAGTTGGTGCTGTTGTTGCTGCTATTGATGGTGCTGGTTCTTGGATGGCCTAAAAATTTATTTCGAGTTAAACTCCATTTCTATCAATAACAGTTTATCGCATTGCTCCATACAACGTATTATAACTGAATATTTCAATTAAAATTGATGAGAATAATGGCAACTCACATAATTTGATATTACAACCGTTAGCAAGATGCAATGCTCACCAATACATAAGACTTCATATAAACCGATTACTAAAACTGACAGGCATCCAAGAACATGAAAAACTTATGTAATATCATTTTCTTCGATGGAATACAGCCATTATCATGCGACTCTCTATAATCATATAGCAACTTCAAATGAAATCTTTTAATATTGTTTTATTATGAAAATATCAAGGAAAATATCTTAGAATAACCAATGTGTAGATGAACTTATAAGTTGTAAGATACTCATTCATTCTATGTTTAAGATATGATTCCAATCATTAGTTCAACAGATTTGTCTTGAGATTTTGACAGCAAAACACAACATTAAAAAATCTCACTCGGAGTTCCTGCATGATTCATAACTGATTGTGTTTTTCTAGATCAGCATAGTCAAAAAAATTAATGGCTTTGTTTACATTAGGGGTGACACATTACTATTACTTTTTTATTACTATTACTCAGTAATTGATAATAATAATTATTACTTTATTACTTATTACCGGTAATAAAGTAATAAAACTTTGAAAGTAATAACAGTAATTAGTAATGCAGCAATAAGTAATAACGAGTAATAATTATTACTGTACTAAAGTAATAATAAAATAATAAATGCGATATAACGTAAACAAGAAGAGCAGGTAAGATATTGGAAGATAAATATTATTTATTGTTGATATATTATTTCGTAGATACCATCTCAAAACGCGCTGAATGCATAGAAAAAAAACTATATATCATAACATTGAATTCGATTCTATATGTTCATACCTTGTTCCTTTCCTTCGTAGCCCACTCAGCTGCCGTTTTTGGCGTCTACTATTGCAACACTAGAAAAACCATGAAATAAACTTTGGATGTTTGTTTATCAAAAACATGAATTTCATTTATTTTAATTAGCTAATAAAAAAAAATCCATACAGTATAGTTTTTGCATAACAGATGGTCTAGATTAAAAAAAACATCTTACACTATAGAGAGCGACTAAAATAAAGCATACATCATTTGCTCTTTAATGATTCGACTTATACGACAAACCTACATATTTTTAAAATTCGAAAAATATAATCCTAGTATGCACTGACATGGTCCTAGGTTATTAATAATGGCAATTGCATAAATTATAAAAGAAAAGCACGAGTGTTTTCTCTGTTTTAATTAACAAAATTTTGTTACTCAGCTAAGTTAACTTTCTATGTTTTAGTGAAGTATTATCTTAATCAAACTTGTTCTTCATAATCCAAAAACTGTACTTCTTTCATCTATAATCTATAACTATTTAGGTCAATTTATGTGAAATAATCAAATATAACGGTGTCGTAATGCTTTAATGAAGAAGTGAAAGTCTAATCGGTGATTAGAAATAATTCTACTATCCTGTTTATTATTACTTATTACTTTATTACTTTTTTGTATGCTTATTACTATTACTGGTAACTAGTAATAACAGTTATTACTTTTATTATCTTATTACCAATATTTCTTTATTACTTTTATTACTTTTCAAAATGGTATGGTGGAAAAAGACAGAAAGGAAAAATATCGAAAGGGAAAAATGTCGAAAATGAAAATATCGAAAACAACAATAATAGAAATTTAGATGAATGTAAGTGATGAAAACGAGAGTATATTGAAGTATCAATCTCCCTCACCCTCATCTTCAACTTTACTGGTTCATATTCATGTTATTTTTTTGTTTTCGACATTTTTATTTTCGATATTTTTCCCTTTCGACATTTTTCCTTTCTGCCTTTTTCCATCCATTCTTCAAAATTATTACTTATTATTAGTAATAGTAAAGTGCCACCCCTAGTTTACACCTGTTTTTACATCGAAAAAATGTGCTCGATGCTATGGAAACATCAAGCAGTTGATGTAAAATAAAAAGTATTCATGCATGACAGAAAGAGTAAGAAGAAGTGGAAGAGAAAAAAAGGAAAAGACAAGCGCAGTATCTAGCAAAGAAATATAATTAATCTTATTATTTTATTTTAAAATACTCACATAATGACAATGGATCATTGGATTTTTTCTATCTTTACACATAGCTAATTTAGTTTTTATCTAAATTAAATGAACTAAAGAAAAACGAATATATCTCTCTTTACATATTACTTTTTTTCCTTTGTATACGTAAAATGTGATCGTTGCTATGACTACAAAAAATATATCATTGGAGGAGAGAAAGAAACACATCGACTATTCTATGAAAGTGAATGCTTTTGGAACATTTTTACTTTAATCACCACACCCTCACCCTCACGCAGTATTGTGTGCGTAAATTACACCAATCAATGTGAAACGGTGATTAAAGTAAAAATGTGCCATGCATTTTATCAGAAGCCTCATACTATTGCAAAGGTCATTGAGTTTAATTGAAATATAAACGAGATCTATAGCTGTGTTTTTAAGGAAAACAATACTATTAGCATAGTTTCTTTTAGACCGAACTGTGAGTTTCACATACCTTTAGTTTCATTGTATAATGAAAAAAGACATAAAATGAAAACTCTAACAATTAACAGCCGATAGTTACTTTACAAAGATAATTAAACATCTACGAACCATTTCTTTTATTTATTTCTTCATCTTCAACAGAAACCGTTTTTAGTTTCAGTCTTTTTTTTTACTGGTACTCTGTGTTCTATTTGTCGTTTTCTTATTTTCTATTTTTTAAATTTTTTTTTCTTCTTATTTTTTAATTAGTTATTATTATGTACTTTAACTAGTAAACATGTTCTCAGTGTAAGACTAACAATTAGTTCAGTCATTATTCTAGTTATAATTTTTGAGTTGTATCTGATCAATTTTTGTAATGATAAAGTTAATTCAGTTATAACTATCAGCTATACTTTTAATTTTCAACTCGAGTTATTTAACTCGATTAACATTGTAGTTTTTTGAGTAAATTTGACTAAGTTGAAAACATAGCCTGTTTAGTTTGATTGAGATGTTTGAGAGAACAGATAAAAAAATATACATATGTTTGCAACATTCTTACTTCAGAAAAACAGCATTTATGAATTCTTTCCTTGTTGTACTTTATTACTTACTTCAATTAATTCTGATGAAACAATAAAACCTAATTCATTATTACATTGCATATTTTCATTGATATTTATTTGATAAAGATATCAGATGTATTTTGGTAGATTATTGTTTTGAAATAATATAGCACTCTAGATAATTAAATAGAATTTTATTTAAATAAAATTTTCAAGACCAGAAAACCTTTTTTTGAAAATATTTCTTTTTTTATTTTTGTCTTTTCTTTCGAACAATTCAGCACATTATTCAAATATTGCTTTTTCTAATTGAAAGTCTCTTTAAAATATTATTCTCTGTACTGTGACATGTTATATACGATAAAATAAAATAAAAACCAAACTCTTAAATATTGTTCCATGCTTTTTAACATTCATCATATTTTGCCAGTTTTTTATTTTTTCCAGAGCCATCAAATCGAGTTCTGTTTGAGAATTTAATAATGCAAGCAAACTCTCTTTGTCCATCATGATTTCGTAAAAAAAATAAGTCGTAGACAAATAGATCTGAAGAATGTGAAACTTACTGAACGATTTTTCCCCCTTTTTCAAAAAATGATCTTACTGAATTTAGGTTTCAATATTTAACAAATGCAGCTATAAAAAACAACAACACAAATAGAATTTTGTATAGTTTTAATATTAACATACACATATATTACCGAAGTAAAGGTTCAATAATCAGCCAGATAAATGAAAATGCCGATAGAGATAAATATATCGCGAATAGATTCGCTGGCAGAAAAATGATCCACTCAAGAATTGTTCGATGTTAAGGAGTTTGTGTGACAATCTTGATGATACAATAATATTTGAGAATAAATTCAATAGAAACAGTCCATCCAAAAATGAATTAATTTATAATGAAACATATAGATAAATCTTATAAAAGACATTATACTTTCATAATAGACAATAATGAAAAAAAAATACTGCCGTCAGTGTAAAAAAAATCCGATGAATTTTCAAATAAAAAGTCCCAATAATCCGTCAAAAAAGATAAAACTTCAAAATATTTTTTATGAAAAATTTAATCCGAAAAAAATAAACGAGACATCTATCAATCAATGCGAATATTTTTATCCATTAGTTCATGCTTTTGATAAGGTCAATTCAATTTTTATCTAACAGAAAACTTTTATTTTCCACTCTAGTTGAACAAAGGAAAGTATAGCATGTCTTTTGAATTTTCGTTTCATTCTAAAGAAAACAAAAAATCGTTCTGACGATAACATCAGATGATCAGAAAGAAAAGAAATTTTCATTTTCTTGCGTTCTGACCTCCTCCCTTTCTTTCGTCATTTCATTATAATGATTCATAGTTTGTACGTATCTGTTTGACACTCACCGATTTTGTTTCGCATATATTTCTCTTTAAAAGAAGGAGTGAACCAGAAATGAAGTTATCTTTGCGCAGCGGCAGTACCTTATCCAATGAGCGTTTCGCGAGGAGAGGTTATTGCTAGTTGAAAACTTAAACCCAATATCCCGCACATTCTGGCTTCTGTCGGAATGGTTGCAATTTTTGCTGCTTCTTCGGAGGCGTTCAAAAAATTATAGTGAAAAATTTTCAGAATTGCATTTGTTATCTTCTTACGACCAGCTAATAAATCTTAAACTGTTTCATATTATTTAAAAGACGGTTAAACACATTTTTATTCATGATGTATATTTAAAATTCGTTCATTGCTTAACATAGTTATTGTGGTCATGAAATTATTTCTCTTTGTCATTTTTTTAATAAAAATGTATTTTTATGTTTTTCCAATAGTTATTAAATGTGTTCATGTATCCTATAACTGATGAATGTGATCATTTTTTCAAACATAAATTGATTCTAAAATAGATTTATTATCTTTATTATGTTAGGCAACTGAAATACAGAAATTTCATTTTTACATTGATCGTATTCTACTAGATATTCTTTTAAAGTTATGATTTATTTGTAAATTTGAATTAATTGATTATATGCAACAGAAAATCCAATGTGATCTGAAATATTAACGTTCATTTATCTTTTTTTTGCTCACTTAATTCAATCGAATGGAAATTTGAATGAAAAATTATCTTACATATGTAACAGTTGTCCAAGTAATTGATTTATTTGAACTAAATCGTTTGTTTGATTTAATGCATTATCAACGATAATTGGAAACAAAAATCGATTAAAGAGAATCAATCCAAAAAAAAAGGATTTATTTCTGATGCCGATTTGAATCGTACATCTATTTGTTTTAATCACTACTTCATTATCAACATGTACCGTTGACGATTTTTTTATGTAGTGTAAGTCACAGCATTTGCATAGTCGGCTGTGTACACATCCAACATCCATATTTTACTATGTCGACAATAACCATCAAAATTAATTTACTTTGTTACGTGATAATTTAAACTACTGAGAACCTCTAGAAATGCTTTTTGATTTCGATCGAAATCTTGAAATCTGATAGTGAGACAACCGCTTTCAGATCTGCAATGAAATTTTTTCGTCGAATGCAGTGGGCTTCACAAAAAAAAGGCATTTTCGAGTTGAAGATTTCTTTTTATCGTTTTCAGATTTATTAAAATGAAAGTAGTAAAATAAGTTAGTTGTCGCTCTCTTTGCATATATTCTAAACAGCTGTGAAAACAACTAATGATTGATAATCAATCAGAGAGAGTGGTAGGAGGTCAATTGAAAGTATTTATTAAAAATTTGTTGATACTTTTTAATACAACTATCTTGGTAATAACTTTGGCAATGGCTACTTTAAAATATCGCACTGATCTAGAGCACGAAACAAAACCTGATTCCAACGCAACGTAAATATCTACTGAAGGAAAAGCGTTTATATCCTATCGTAAACCTCATATTTCCTTTTTTTAAATGAAATTTCGATCTTTTCCATAATAAACATTCGCAACTTAGTAGCACCGTTGGAAGTCAATGGAAACTCGTATACCATCTAATTTTATGTCGCGATGGTCTCGAAATTAAAAAGTAGCAACATATTCGTTCGAGTATAGGATGAAAGATCACTATTGTAGTCGACACCGTCGGTTTTCGATCTTTAGTAGTGACTTTTGTTTCTCTTTACAGAGTTCGACCAAACGACAATATTTTGTGAATTTTGTTTATTTTTCAGCAGGCAACAATCACATTTGAATGCGTAAATGAAATGTTGATAGATATTTATAAAGTTTTCGTACTGATAGTCTCATTAATATCTTTTCTCGAAAAGATCTTGTGCTGGCCAATCGAAGAGTAGAAACAAAGACTTTCGAAATGCAAAAGGCGACGAAATAAAACATACTTCAGAACAGTAAAGATCGATAGGTATAGATCCAACTTTCGTTTCCGTTGTATAGAACTTCATTCGAATTCAAAAAAATTGAAGGGAAAACATTGCTTCATACCTGAATTCCTACTGTTGATTTGGTCGATATGTCATCTAGTTAGTCAATTTACCCATGTATTTTTAACGAGTTTAATTTTTCTCATAAACATTAACTTCAATCAAATTTTAAAGTTCACTCAAACGTGTATTATTGTCGTACTCAACAAGAATTATTTGAACATCTATTGGATCAATCAACAAATAAAATCTTGACTTGTTCCAGCCAAGTTCTTTTTTACATTTAGTTTGACGAATAACGGTAGTATCGAATTTGTTCACTGAATATACTTGAACAAGATAATAGTTTAGAGGATGTGTTTTTTGAAAACAAAATAAGGTTTATAAAAGATTTATTTTAATTTTAATTAGATGAGTATTATTCAATACTTAATATTATTATTTGAATTCTGTCATGAAAATAGTCTTGATTTACTTGTTCAACTACAGTATATAAAAATCCATCCAAATTTTCATCGTATGCAAAATGAGCATTCGGCAACAATTACAAATCTGTTACTCAGATACCTGTATTTGATATGAAAAGAAGTTAAATATAGAGTTATATTTAATTTAACTAATCGTTCACTATAGGAAAAGAAACAAATCTTAATATAACATCTTGAAAAATTTTGTATTATATGTATTGTAATGAGTGGATTTAATGAAAAATCAATTGTAAAGCATGCCTGCAACTAGATAAAGTTTTTTATTGAATGAAAAACATATGCTCGTATCTTATCAATATAGCGGACCAACAGTTATTTAGCGTTCATTTCTTTGTTAATCATGGCCGAATAGTTATTTTTCTGTAATCTTAGTTGTTGCGCAACGTTAATGACATAAATAAAAATCCTTTGCTATAATGTTGTGCACTTGTACAAAAGATAATTTTGACTTTTTTAAAAATTAATGTTGTTTTATTTATTTATTATTAGATAATTATTGTACAGAATGAAGCAAAAATCAGTAGGAATAAATTAATACAAAAATAATATAAATCGAAAAATAAAGATTCAAAATGTCTAGGAAGACATGAGATTTTTCATTATTCAAAAAACTATTGGATGAATAGGAAATAGAATAATGAGAAGTATTACTGAAACGTTTTTAACGTCAACAACTTCATCAAGAAATCTCAATTGTATAATCTACAGTTAACATCTTCGAAACTTATTTGAGAAGTTTCTATTGTTAGTTATTCAAAATTGAATTAAAACAATATTTGCGTGAAGAAGAAATTAGAAAGTTTTGGAAAAATTGACCTATTTCTTTTGATTGAATGATAATGAAAAACGTTCGCTTCATTTTACCACTTATCTGCATGCATACTTCAAGAATCACTATAGTAGCGATATGAATGGCGTACAAACGATTTTTTTCCTATTGAATTTTCATTTATCAATCTTGTTTCAGCAAACCTATTGAAAATATTATTCATCAAGAACGACAGCTTTGAAATAAAAAATAAGCCTTCAATACGAACACATATGATTGAATGAAATTAGGTAGGACAAAACCTTTCTGTTGAGGCTATGTGAATGTGGATGTGGGTGTAAGTATGAGTGTTTTCTTCTTTAGGCTGACATTCAGACCTACACTCATACTTTTTCTCTTTTGATTGTCTTTTACATGATGAATCACTGTACTCATTTGAAATAGTTTTTCTATTCAACTGAGAAT